GAAACAACATCCTCAGATGATAATAAGCCCTGGATATACAGTTGGAGACATGCTTCTTATAGCGAAAACTGTTGTCCATAATCATACCCAAATTCTTTACCTCACTAACCAAAGGAATGTTACAACCATCAATTTGCAAATCAATACTTTCCCGAAAACCATTACATATAGCGGAATTTCCAAAAAGTATAGCATTGGATTTACTCGGATTAAGATGTAGACCGTATTCCCGAGCCACTTTATGAATGTAATCAAGGTCTTTTTGCATATTCGTAATACCCAACGCGAAGTCGCGTGGATCAAAGGAAACATACATCTGCAAGTCATCCGCATACATATGGTACTCACAATGATTTAACCCCCTAACGATTTGAGATGTATATAAAGAAAATAGAATAGGCCCTAAAATAGTACCTTGTGGTACACCCTTGCTCAAACAGCGAAATTCAGACAAAGCATCACCGATTCTAACCGACTGATGCCTATTACTTAAATAATTTTCAATTAAGTTTAAAGCGGATTCACTGAAGCCAATATACTTTAACAATTCCACAAGCAAGTCATGACAAACACTATCAAAAGCTCTACTAAAATCCAACAAGACTACCAACGTACATAATCCTTTATCTCGAGCCTGTAAAATATCATTAGTTACCTTGAGAAGAGCATGGTTTCTACGAAAACCAGATTGATGCTTCGGTAAAATATTATTAAGTTGAACAAATTGATGCAACTGATTAAACATAATTCTTTCCAGAACTTTAGATAAAATTGGCAATATGCTAATCTTTAGGCTCAGACGGGTCACGTTTTTTTGGGATAGGAACCACAATTGACAACTTCCAACAGTCAGGTACATCCGAAGTTTCAATGCAAACATTGAGTAATAATCAACTAGCTCTGTGTTTCATTCATTAGCATCTTATCGAGCTAAGTACAAACGAAGAATTAAAACCAATGTTTGTTGACGGATATGAAAAATGTCGGTTACAAAAACAGATATCAACTTTATATCCCGAAGTATAGGACACTGCGGAAAAGTTTTTAATAGCTTTTTCGTCTTCATAGTTAATGGAACGTAGATTTAGTGACTTGATCTTAGTGAAACCGACTTGATGTTAGTGCTCGTGGTGACTTGCGGTTATTGCTTACAAATATAGAGCCAAACATAAACAATTTGATCACAACTCATCAGGCTCAACCATCACATTAAAAATGTTTTTACGACCACTGCATTCCGGTAAAAACAGTTTTAGTAGCACGGCACTGACTAGGGGGTCTACAATCACGTTTTGGCTCAAAAAGGGGTGCGTAGCCATAATAAGTTTGGGAGTAATGATTTGAATATAAATAACTTGAAACTAAACTTAATATATTATTCAAATTAAAATTGTATGCAACCAATATCACAGTATTGGTATTACAATACACGATTTGCGATATTGGTTGCATTCTTGCAATGATGACGTCGGGTACGATAATTAATTAACACACTGTAGTTATTTCAGTATATATTTCATGCTGTAATCACCGGTGGGGAGTTCTTTGTGATACGCTAAAATACGATTATTTAGCCATAAAGGTTTCCGTTTCAGATTTAAAAAAGTAGTCGCGGTTGAGAGTTCGTGGCTCGATGATAGAGAGAGAGAGCGTGTTATTCTCCTTATTCGAAGAAGTATATTTCGCGTCGTAATATCGTTAATAAGAGCAGGTCGGGAAGCGGCTCGGGGTAGATCAAAGAAATTTTGCAGGGATAATGAGCGGCATTAGGTGGAAAGAGTATTCCACCCCTTACGTACCCGAGTGAAGTGTGTCATTACAAACACTTCGTTTATTTAATTCGGAATAGTAACATGTTTTTGAAGTTTACAGGAAAAATTATCAATTAAGAATACTTATCTTATGTGCATACTGCTATGTGCGCAAATAAAATCGATTTAGACTGGTTAAATTTTTTTATTATTGGAGTGCCTATCGTCGGTTTTTGCCATTTCGATTGTTCAATAAACAAGTTTCGCGGTTACAAACGCATTGGCAAAACGATTTCGCGGATAGATGCGGCGGGTGCTACCTATTGAAATGTACTCAGGGGAAACTTCAAAGGGTCCCCACCACAGGCGATTAACCAAAACGAAACGTAACCCGGCAACGTATAATCAAGTCTTTGCATCTTGTGCCGGCGCGTTCAAACACGTTTGAACGCAGAATGTAAACAATATGATTTAGCGAATTCCCGTCGCGATACGGATCGGCCGTGTAATTTCGCAATGTTTTAATGTATGGGTGGGTGGGGCGGCGTGTTTATAAATATTTTCGAGATGATACGCCGGACTTTACGTATGATAATGAGCTTGAATTACAGCAATCTTGTATCGCGCACCTCTTTCTACCTCGACCTTGTCTCTTGCACGACTCCTCGCAACCCGGCGGTAGGTAATTTTCTCAATTCCGACGCTCCGTTTTTTAAATTTAGCCCTCTTTCCTACAAAATTACCTGCCCCCTACGACGCCAGAGGGAATCCCTAACGTTTAAAATGGATCACGAACTTCTACCTGCTCCCTAACCATCATGAAGTTACTCCAAAAGTCCCGATATACCTTTGTTTCAGAAACAGCATTTTATTTTATGATTCAAAAAACTTTGGTACAATAAATTAATTATGGTGTAGTTTGTAATTGTAGAACCTCGGCTTAATCAGTAAAAGTAATAGATTCTTTGTTTCAAGTTTACTCACTTGCGGCCGAGGCGCTACAAAGCGTTTATTATTTTATTATTTTATCATTTTTATTAAAATGAATTTGTTGATAAAAAAGTATATAATAAAATTGTAATAATAGTATTGATATTTTTGTTGTAAAATTTTGTCGACAAATTGTATTTTCGAAAATGTAACAATTTAGTGGTGTTTAATAGAAATTTCGATTTAATCAGGATGTAGTACTAAAAAAATAATTGGTCGAGCAGACAAACGGATGCGAGAGCATATATATTAATTGACAGGTCGATTGTTTACAAATTCGCAGCAAAATCGACGTTGGGTGCAATTGGAACAAACTTTTGTTTTCGCATTTGCTTGAAACAGATAGACACGTAATGACATCCGGAGGCGATCTTGAATGAAAACGAACTTTAGAGTAACAACCTTCGTTAAATAGACGGTTTCTTACCTTTTCCCAAAGGCTATTTATTGATAGTAATAGTTTATCGATGTGTTGAACTATAACCGTATATTTATAGCTCTAGTTTCCATTTTTAGAATCGATGTGTTGGAATAAACAAGTTGTTCCAAATCTTGAGTAATCGCAACGGGAAACGGGTAGTTAAATTGCAAGAGTATTTCATAGTGAAGCCAGAGAGGGGGTCTAAAAGAGATACCAAGGTACAAATGGCTTTCGAGATAAGATCGGGTTTATACACACGTATATTTTGTGACGTTTCGGGATTTCAATTTAAATTCATGGAAGACAGGGATTAAAACGCGGAAGAGGTCCGCTTTGTTTTCATGGTTTCCGTGGAGAATCTAAATCCTCGGCGCATTAAACGAGTGGTCAGGACGAAGGCCCAAAAGTTCTCAATGCGGAGGGAAACTTTTTGATCCAAAGTAACGTAGCTCTTTAAAAACATATAGAGAAATAAGTATTTCCTTTTGCGGGCCCGCGGACCTGCATTATTAAAACAAGTTCGGAGTCCTTTGAAGTTCCGCTTTCATTACTTTAAATTTAGTTGAAAATTCGCCTCCCCATCGTGAGGGAAAACAAATAGAATGGAGTCGTCCTGTTGGAATTAATTTGACATTTTCAAATTAAAGGCGTCGCTCGTATGGCCTGCGGATAGATACATGAACGTAGCCTATCATCTAAATTAGCAAGACAAACGTAATATTGATAATTAGAGTAATGGTTCTAATATAATTGGGGAAATATGCTTTGTCCGTGCAACACACGAATAATCCTACTGTAAGATTTACTTCGAAACTGTTGAAAAAGAATATTTGCATTTCAGATGACTTCCTGCAAAGCTTCCTGACGATGACCATAAAACGCCTTGGGAAAGGCGACCTCGCTAAGACTCTTGCAGGATATGGATTAAATTCCGCGCCACCTCTTTGTTAGAAGCTTTAAGTCGCTCATATTCGTTAGCTCGCCTTCCTCGCTAATCTATACGGTCTCAATTTATGAACTACCAGTTATACAAAGCACCGGCATCAATTCTCATTTTGTTCCGCCTTAAAATGTCTCTTGGTCTAAATTTAATTAAAACGTTTAATATAAACATAAACGTTTTAATTCATTTTAAAAATGAATTTTATTTACAGGATGATAAAACTGGTCAAGCATTGTTAGAAGTAATCTTTCGACATCTGAACCTTTTAGAAACGGCCTACTTTGGATTGAGATACCTGGATCAAGAGGGTCAAACGGTAAGTAGAAAACCGAACGGTGGGTGGGTCAAGAAGCGACGCTTACGCAGAGTTAAAACGTTCCTTTCAGTTATGGCTGGACCCGGCGAAGAAACTCAGCAGACAGCTGCGGGGGGCAGAGCCCTTCACGTTGTACTTCGGGGTCAAGTTCTACGCGGCAGACCCCTGCAAGTTGCTCGAGGAAATCACAAGGTAAGCTCAAGAAATATGCGAATGTAGATTTCGTTCTGACAGGAACCCATGTGGGAGGCCTGCGCCTCTGGGCGTCCACTAGACTATTCATTACGCTTCGCCGACCTAACTACCAATTACACCAAAACCTATAAACGAACAGCCCCGTGAGATTCAACATATTATACTCTAAAAAAGATCACAAAAAATAATTTTTATGAAATTATAAAATTCTAGACTGGACGTCGCGCCTTTATTTTACCTACATAAAAAAATAAAGGCACGACGTCCTATTTATTAATTTATTCGACTTTTTAAATCATCCGTATTAATTTTAGGAGTAATTTATGAACGAGAAGTGGAGGTTTAGTTGAATTACACGAATTTTTTCATTTCATTACCTTGTCGGGTGTATTTTCCCGTGGGGTTTAAACGTTGAAGGTAGATATGAATTTACATTACGTGTGTGTACACAAACCGCGTTTACGTCCGCAAATTAAAAACGTTCACCTACACGAGGGGGATAATTAAAAGGATCCGATATGTTGCGTTTACGATGGACGATTTCGTTAGTCGCCTGGGGTTCGAAACCGACAGAAAACAAGGTAATAACCGGGTTAACTCGGCAACAAAGGAAACCTGAAGAGACCCGCTGCCGCCACCGCCGTGGAGAACTAGACGGAGATAAATTTGAAATATATGTGCCATTTATTGTTGCCCGAGTAAACACGGCCATTGCCGGACCGCGTGATTCCGAATTTAGATAGATAATGCTTTTGCCCGCCGCCAAGCGATGTTTAGGACCGTTTTTGGTAGTGAATCCCGTTTATTTCAATTTTATGCGGATAAAACTTCCAGGATGATCCGTTGTTTACTCTAAACAAGAACGCGAACAATTTATCAACCCGATTTAAACATAAACAAGATAATTTGTAAAAGCGAAATATCATGAATAGTTATTTTTTATCTAGGCGGTAAAGCTATTTGTTTTGAATATCTATATAAAAAATGTATTTGTATTATATTGGACATGAAATAGGGTATCAAAAGTTCGTAAAGCTGACGTTAATAAACAGGTTCCCGGTAACCATTCGTTCCCATGACGCCACATGAAAGAGCAGGGGTTGATTCGGGTAACTTGCTATAAATTCGCGGGGTCGGCGAATATATTACAACCGTTGACGTAATATTTTAACACCTGTTCCCCGAGAATAAAATTCAAATTTTTTTCAAATGTCTATTAGTAATTATTAAAGATCGCATCAATTATTAATGGAATAATATCGATTATGTCGAACGGGATGCGTATTCCGCAATTTAAACAGAGAATTATTTATCGGTCCGACAAATTCGAGAGCCGTCGTACGTATTTATAATGCATTAACAGCCGTAAATCATTTAGCGGTTGTTAATGTGGATAAACAGTGCGGCCAATTTTAGATAATTTCCCGTTTTTGACGACGCCTTTTCGTTCGAAGAAGCAATTAAAAGAGAATTTGGAGGTCGTAACGGAGAGCGGGACGAAAATTGTAAATTAATCATAAGAAAAATGATCCCTGACCACGAAATTGGTGGGTCGAGGTACATAGGGGAGGTCTGAGAGATATAATCGTTTTCCTTTTTTGTTATAGGTACCAGTTTTTTCTACAGGTAAAGCAAGACATCCTGCAGGGAAGGCTACCAGTAAGCTTTCAACTTGCAGCCGAATTGGGAGCTTATATTATTCAATGTAAGTTAAGAAGACGAAACCTTCCCGCCCTATCACTCTCGAAAACTCGAAAACTACACCAGTTATTACGATATCTGAGCCCCTTGCATATTGAATTTTACATAAAACTTTCATGAGCTCAGACATCAGACGGGGCGCCCACTCGGCTTCCAGATGAGACCCTTTGTTTCACGCTATTAGACTCGTTATTCTTTGATAACACGATGCAATTGCCATCGGACTAACGCTCCCTGCGACTCTCTTTGAACGGATACCTTACAAATGCCATACCAAAGAGAGCTTCCCAACACAACCCAACCCCTCCTCCCATCCAGCGACACCAAACTAACGATTCTATATCATAACTTTCATTTCCATTCAAAAGCTTTTCAATCTTTCTCTCTCTCAATATTAATATCACTTTTTTTTATACCCTTAAACCTATTATTTTAACAACAAAACGGACAGTTCTTTATTCTTTAGAAATATAAATTTTAATCAAATGTACTGCCTCGGCCGCAAGTGGCCTCGGATTTAATCTCTCGGTGTTTTTGATATACAGGGTGATTCGTAACCTATACCTCAATCCTCTTGATTTTTATTTTTAGGATCACTTAAAAAGCATAGTGTACTTCACCGAAGTTAATACTTACAGTCAGTCCCAAAAGTCATCGTACACAAAAGAATTTTTTTATTACCATACATGTAATTATTTATTTTTAACAAATTTATAAACAGAAAACACTGCAATTTAACAAAATAACAAAATAACTTAATAATTCTTCAAAATCGTTCCATTGCAATCTCACAAAAGTAATCGTACATATGAAAACCGACAGGGGTTTCCCCGTCTCTTTGTCAATTACGTGGGATTTCCCGTGCAGCTAGTCTAACCTGCCCTACATCTAGTAATCGTTGCTCTCCGTCAAGGTTTATATATAAAAGGTTGTCTAGGTTCGTACGCAACCATACTACGCATTACGTCACATGTGGAAAATAATACCGCCAAGCAATTCAAATTAAACAAATGCATGGAGCACCACATGGCCATGAGGTTGCGTGCGCAATCCGTGATCGCTTACGTCACGAAACACTCCTGCTCTTGCCCCTCGCCCATAAACTAAAATCAAAGTATTGCAACATAGGAACTTAGACAACCTTTAATATATAAACCTTGGCTCTCCGTTTGTCAAAAAAGTGTCATGGCTCCCCAGAGAACGGAAACAAGTGTAGAAGTGAGAAAAATTGTTATAAAATTACATAATGAAGGTCGATCTATACGTGAAATCGCTAAAACACTTAATAAAAGTGCTTCTATAATTCAGTATATAATTAAAAGGTTTGTGGATACCGGAAATATTGAAAATGCTCCGCGCACTGGCCGTCCAAAATTGTTGACTCCCCGAGAAGAACGAAGAATTAGGCAAGAAGTCAACGCAAATCCTCGGATAAGTGCCCCAAAAATAGCGGCAAACGTCCAAAACAAATTTAATAAAACCGTAAGTGCAGAAACTGTGCGAAGGGTTTTGCGTGGTGCCGGGTATAACGGACGAGTACCACGAAAGAAACCTTACATTAGCGATGTTAACAAAAAGAAACGAATCGAATTTGCAAAAATGCATAAAGATAAAGATATGGACTTTTGGAAAAGGGTCATCTTTACAGATGAATCAAAATATAACATTTTTGGATGCGATGGTAGGGGTAAAATTTGGAGGAAGGCCGGTACAGCCCTAGATTTAAAAAATCTCCTACCAACAGTGAAACATGGCGGTGGATCCGTTATGGTATGGGGATCCATGGCTGCTTCAGGAGTCGGTAGTTTAGTCTTTATTGAAAATATAATGAATAAGTGGCAATATTTAAATATTTTAAAGGCTAATTTAAAGCAAAATGCTATACAATTGTGTCTTGGAAGTAATTGGATTTTCCAACAAGACCAAGACCCAAAGCATACAGCGCATGTAGTTCGCGAATGGCTTTTATATAATGTGCCCAAGCAGCTACATTCTCCTCCACAATCACCGGATATTAACCCCATAGAGCACGTGTGGGATTACTTAGAAAAATCTATTAGAATGCACAACATTAGTAGCAAGGAATCCCTAAAAGCTGCATTACAAGTAGAGTGGGATAAAATTCCGGCATCATACACTGAAAAACTTGTTCAATCTATGAGACTTGTACTTAAAGCGAACGGAGGACCAACCAAGTACTAGTACCAGCTTGGCTGCGTCTTTAATTACAACTTTTGGATCTGTACGATCACTTTTGTGACATTCCAATGGAAGAATTTTGAAGAACTATTAAGTTATTTTGCTAAATTGCAGTGTTTTCTGTTTATAAATCTGTTAAAAATAAATAATTATGTGTATGGTAATAAAAAAATACTTTTTTTACGACCTCATTTTTTATATTATGCAAAAACCGTTGGTGTACGATGACTTTTGGGACTGACTGTAGCAAGAAATTATGGCACTATGCAAAATTTCAGAAAAACCTACCTCTTATAACATCTATCCTGGGACACACTGTATACCGTGGGAACAAAGTTTTATTTTTTATAAGTGATTATTGAATACATTCTAGATTGTTAGAATGACTTCTAAGTTGCAGTAAAATAATTTTAAATAACCACTAGTTTCGGGATTTCGCAATCTTCAGCCGATTTAATTTCTTGATTTATATATTTAATAATAAAAAAAAAGTTGTTCTAAAAAGTGAGAGATCCAAAGCTATTAAAAATTAGTTCTGAACCCAATAGCGGAAGTATAGAATTATTTTTTCGTGTTTCATGGTAGTTTAATTGGAGTCACTGGTTGGTTTTCCCGTTAGTAATAGCAAAGTCAAGGGCAATAATCTGTAAACTGGAAATGCACGGCGTCCGGTCGAAACGAGGCATTAGCCCCGGTATAAATAACTATATCGCCGACAGGCGAGGACAATATATTAATGTTAACGTATAATTGATAACGAGGTTCGTATTGACAAGAACTAGCTACTTGTATATTGAATTCACATCCCAGATGTCGACCTCGCCCTCGGATACTAAATACCTGTCGGTCATTTTGAAATTAACCACCAGCCGAGCGAGCGCGTTATTTGTTGTTTGGTCGCGACAAAGGGCGGTTTAAATTGGTTCGCAACTTTTCCATCTGGTAGAACGGCCAAAGTGTTAAAGCTCTACATTAAATCACGCGAACTGGAATTTAAAACCGGTATAAAAGCAGCCGAATATTTAGTCCCGGGCTCACGTTACCATGGAAAACAAACAAATATTTCAATATAGCACCGATAGCATTTTCCGCTTTTATTACTACCAAAATTCATTTAAAATTCATTACATTAAACAGTTCGTAATCTAACTATATATACATTATATTTAATAAAATAGTCAAAAAAATAAAGTGTTGCTGTGATAATTAAGAAAATTAATTTGTGCTGAAATAAAGGTACATTTTAAAGATTTAATACTGAGAAGTTGGTTGTTTATGTTTCATAAAAGCCGGATTACGATATTAACGGTGCTTGAGCCATTATGGTAATTAAAGATTGCGTTCGCCCGGTTGAAAAATAAATATTAATTGGGTTGGTTATATTTCTTAAGTTGAAGAAACTTTTTTATAAAAAAATAATTAAAAATTATTGTGGTTAAAATTCGATTAGAGGATATCAAATTGGATATAATCGATAATAACAGTTTTTTCATCACTTCCAATAAGTATCTCATATTTCCTGGGAAGGTTAATAAAAGTTTTGTCCGTTTAAACATCGAAACGCCGAACATTAAAAAGTTGCGAGAATCAAATTTCAATTTCGCCAACGCGACTCGCGCTTTAAATTTTAATTAAACCATACTTTGCCTTTGGCCGTTTTCAGCGATTCTCCGCTTTTTTTAATTTACTTAGGAAGTTCCGTAAAAAATAAGGGCGATGTGAAAAACTGATATTGTTGTAACCCCCCTTATTTGTACCGAGCTGATCGCCGAACGTAGTCTAGGGTACGGTAGGTCGAGGGTCGCGTTTCTCCCCTTCCTCCCGGAGGGGATAAACTTTCCCTCATTTGTTGTGTACCCTCCCTTTGAAAATACGACCCCTTCGATTCCCCCTAAATATTTAACCGTATCAATCCGATAATTATGTTTGTTTTTAGCCGAATTGGGAGACTACGACCCAAGAAGACACAGTCCGGGATATGTTTCCGAATTTCGTTTCTTATCAAACCAAACTGTAGAACTTGAAAACGCCATCGCTGAACTCCATAAGAAGCTGGTGTAAGTATCAACTAAATAATAATTATAAATGTTAAGTTGTGTGAGTATACGCGTAAAATACGTGGTTTACTACGTTTTTTAGTCCCTTTTTTTGAAACGTAATCTGCTGTATGGTGAAAAAACAACAGCCGTTATGGCTGGGAGCCTCATTTTATTTGACCTGCTGATTTCGCCGGCAAGCTGCCGTATCGACGCGTTAAAAAATTCAACGTCAATATTTTGCCGCCCGTAAAGGTTTTTTAAATGGACCTGCATACGGGCACTAACGACTTCCCGTCTGCCATTAGTATAACGGTTCTAGGAACATAAGCGGCCACATCTACGAGTCAGTACGAAGGAAATTGAGAACATTTTCCTAAGCTGTCTATTAGAATTTAAAATTTTAAATTACTGAAGGCATATTTAATGTTTTCATCCTTTTTTAGGGGTCAATTACCGTCCGTCGCGGAACTTAGTTATTTAGATAAAGTGAAATGGCTCGATATGTACGGAGTCGATTTGCATCCTGTTGCTGTAAAACTAAAAGGAGAGGATAAAATGGATTATTATATCGGCTTAACGCCGAGCGGAATCATTCTCATGAAGAATAAAACCAACGTAGGCACCTACTACTGGCCGCGAATATCCAAGATTTACTTCAAGGGCAGATACTTCATCCTGAAAGTCCTCGAAAAGAACGTAACTTCGCCCCCACCTTCAAACTCCACCTACATGCTCAACCCCATTCTCTCTCTCGTTTCAGGACGAAGAGATCACCTTCGGTTTTGAAACCTCCACCAAAGCAGCTTGCAAGCACCTTTGGAAGTGCTGCGTCGAGCACCACGCCTTTTTCAGGTTGGTTCAAGTCTCTCCCACTGCTTGTAATATTTTCGGTTTAAGTTCCACCTTTCGGTTTAGGTAAGGACCTTCGACATTAAATTGGAGAAATTTTAGTTTCTGTTTTAGCGGTCATACCGAAAAACAGGCAGTCCGCGATGCCCAACTCAAAGTTCGTACACCTCCCACATTTTCTCGAACACCTTCCAGGCGATATCAACGCAGAATCGTTGAAGGCGCCAACAATGGTAAGCAAACAAAAAGATTTATAATAAAAATTATAAAACATTTTTTTATTGCAGTAGGACCAGTTGATGAAATCAAAATGGATCACTACCAATCAGAAGTGAAACACGTTTCCATTCCTCAACCGGCCCAACCGTAAGAAATAAAAACACCATCTTTCTTTCTTATCCAAAAATTATTTCAAAAGGGTAACGTGCAATAGTTCAACCGAACCAAGACATCGTTCCGATTCTCCACGAAGCACCAGAAGCGCTCCTTGGTCTCAACCTCACTCAAGAGGCTTATATAACAGCTCAGTTCCACCTAGTCCAAGATCCGTTCGCTCAGCAGGACCCAGATATAGATCTTCTTCAGTCGATAGCCAAAGCTCCAATGATTCTCGTTCTAAAAGGTAATCCCTAAAACTTCATCATATATTATTTCAACATAAATTGTAAAACAATAATAATTTATTAAAAATGTTTTATTAGTAGGCGTAAACATAGAAGCAGAATGACTTCTGATAATGAAAGCGAACTTTCGAAGAGTTCAAATAGATCCCATAGAAAACATCGAAGGCATCGCTCACGAGGTAATAGAAGAGATTCTGGTTCTGAACAAGAAAATGGAACGAGTCGTAGAAAATCTTTAAGTCGATCAAGGTAATTAAATATTATTTTTTATTATTATACCATTTTCTTCGTCTTTATTTCGTTTTGTCTAACATACAATAATAATTTGAAAATAATAATAAATATTTCTTAAAATTTTAGGAGATCTGATAGTCATTATGAATTGGTGGATTCTACATCTCAATGGAGAGAAGCGCAACGTAAACAAGCGGGACAAAATTCAAGTTCAATTCAACAAGCGACCGTTATAAGCAGTAAACGATCCGGATATTCAAATAATGCCCTAGAAACGGAGTCGGAAATTTCTTACCGGAACAAACACCGCCGTGCGAGAAAACACAGGTCAAGGTCACGATCCCCGGATAACAAAACTTGGTTGCCGGATGAGTTGAAAAAACATTTAGAATTCGATCTGATAGATACATCGGGAATGAGCGAGTCTCAACTACGGGAAATTCCATACACGGTCGTTCAAACCAATGAAGCAAAGCAAATGAAGATTAAACATCTTCAGTGGGGGAAAGGAGAGAACCAAAACGATAAAAGATCGACGGATAGTCCACCGCCTCCGTATTCTCCGCAAGTTTCTGAAGCTGGGAGATTGCGAAATATGAGAGTTAGTCATTCTAGGACTAAAAATCAGTCGCCTATTACCGGAGCTGCAGATTTAATCTCGATGACAACTTCTAGTATTGCCTCTAATTCGAGTAGTACACATAGTAATGCTACAAATATGCTGCCTAGGTTAATTTTAATTTTCAACTAATTAAAAAGGGAGAAATAAAAAATTATATTTGTAGGATGTTGGATTCTTTAGGAATCGCGGATAATTATTCCTATGGGTCGCAGCGTAGTGCGAAAAGCGGTCGAGTTGGAAGTTCTGCACTTTACGGAAATCCAAATACACTTCTTAGCGGTTTAAATAATGGATATCAAGATTCATCATCTTCTCCGACCGTTAGTCACGAACACACAGATTCAGGTCTTGGTGGTGATCAAGATTTGACTTACGGTAGTGAGAGGTAAAAGAATTTCTTGTAAAGTAGTGGGTTTTGTGGATTGATTTTCGTATGAAAATAAATTGTAAAAATAAAATAGGTAGAAATAGAATATGTAAAATATGATGTCATTGGTACTGTATTAGATCGAGCGAAAGCCATGGAACTAACAAGGGGAGTGGTGACCTACGTCTAGGGGTATTGCCAGTGAGTAAATCCTTCGGTTCCGATTGTCAGCCATTGAATCCCCAGCAACTCTATCCGAGCCATAGTAATATGGCAGGTTTTAGAGCAAAACAAACCGCCGTCAAATCTGTATATACTCAAGAAACGGACGGTAGATACGGGGTTAGTGTAAATCACTCCAACAATTTCGCGCGATTCTGCTCGCGTCTCTACTAATCCATAAACCCTAACTATAAATATTTGATGTTTTAGCACGCTAAGTCGTCCCGCCTAACTTATAATACCGCTTCAAACTCGCCAATTCACCTGGAAAGGGTGCCTCATAAGCCACCGGTCGATGCACGCAACTCGATCATGAGGTCTGGGTCTAAATACAGTAACTCTCCTTACAACTCTCCTTTAACTGAATTCATACATCCATCTTTACGGGGTTCTTTACGCTCTGTCGCGAGTAGTCCTGCCAATAACGGCAACGATTCCGGCCCCTTACGTCTACAATACAAGACCGGATCGAGTGTACGCTCGAAATGTAGCATTATATCGGATACTAAATCCGAAATAGACGATAACTATATGTTCTCAGGACATAGAACTGATACTAATCAAAATATAAATGAATTTTCTGTAAGTATTTTCTTTCTTATTGTACATTATTTTATTTAATCTTACATGATCGTACACCTAACTATTTCCAACATTATCATTCATCAATAATTCATGAATATTTAACAATATATTAATAAATAAATGTTATGTGTACGTTCTAAATAAAAACCGCTAGTGCTTTTATTATTTATTTATATTCATATTTAAATTAAACCAGTAGAATAAGCGAGAGATGTGGTAATCTGTAATCTGTAACCTATCTCGGGCCTTGCTTGCTTCCTCTTTGACTGCTTCAACCCTATTCGACCTGTAGCTGCTTCGAGTCGACCGGAAAAGTAGTTTTGAATTTGGTTTCTTTGGGTTATTAGATTAGTTAGGCCACATCGTGCGGGTAATTAACTTTTCATCTATCACACTCTACCTCTGTGTCACATACCAAAAACAAAAAAAAACAAACACATTGAAGCAGTCTTTGAGACGTTAAGCCGAGATTTTAATAAACGCCGAGAACAGAAGACCACAACCAGTAGCTAAGCTCCGTTTATTATTTTTGTTGCCCTTTAAACAGCGTGAAGTAATTTGTATTTTTTCATTTAAAATTGCGATATGTGATGCAGAGATGTCAAAGCAGAAGCGCACGTAGTTCGCATAATAAACCTCCATTACCGCCAATACATAATCGAAATCGATCCGTGAGTTTGGAATACGTACTAACACCACTAATAAGGAGTTCGCAAAAGTAAGTAGAAACTTAGATGTAATCCGCTTACGTAATTGAACCGAAAAGTATTTCCGTCATCAAGCGATACATGGCTATGTTTTGGCGTTGACCTAAAATGTTTTTATTTTTATTTTAATACAGGTCTCGACAGCAGTAAGCTTACCAAATATTGCTCAAAACGAGAACAATCAGCCCCAAGATGGACCGCGACGAAAAGAGGCATCCGAAATGAGTACTGAACTTTAAATACTTATATTATTTATATACTTATACAAGAAGAAACAAATTAAATGGAAAAAATATATATTATATACATCGATGTAAAAACATACACTTTTTCTACACGTATTAGATAGCTATTTGTATTGATCAGTGTTCCGAGTATACTCGAAATAAAAAATATGAAAAAGCATCCATTATAAACGAAAATTGTAATCACATAAATGTTCTCAATTCAAGTAAAAGTAACCGTTTTTAAGTATTACTACAATATTATAGGACTGTTTGTAATTATTTCATATGTGATTATCTTATGTTGACAGTATTTAACATATTTATATTATGTTGATTACAAATAAAAACTTAAGTTCTGAATTTTTTATGTTTTTTTTTACCAATAATAATAAAAAGTGCACATGAACAGATTTGAACATGATGTTTTTTTTGTTAATTTGCATCGTAGATCAAAATTGTGATATCGGCCATGATCGAGGTTGGGACCTACCGTCATGGTTATTAAAACTATGAAACTTCATTTCTATCTACGCTGGTATGACATGAAACGAGTCCGAATATTACAAATATATGGACTTCACGAATGCTTCAATCGATCATCTCAAATAGTAAGACTCGGACTATGGCCTCATTTTTATCTATGACTTGCAACCTAGATAAAATAACAACGGCCATTTTCGAAGACGTCGGTTGATCCTAAAATGATCCCTAATATGCTTTTTATTTATATTTTCCTTTATTTTCATATTTAAATGAAATTTAGGATTATATCGACTCTCAATTGCAAAAATTGAAGATACCTTTAATATTTATCATTTTGCTTGTCGCCATCTATGAAACAAAATTGAAAACTTAATTAATATTTTAAAGGTAGTTTTTCTATTTTAAAGTAAAATTATTAAAATAATTAATCGAATGAATAGAGATAATTAATGGAATTAATTTAAAGATTTTAATCAATTAAGGAAATTGTATTCTTTCTATTTTGGTGAAAGTACCAACTGTCCGGTCGCCATGTTCCCATTAACTTTCCACAGTCACAAAACGTCAACAGAAACGATAACTGGCAACTGGCAGTTGTAAAAACACGATTCGTGCACTGACTAAAATTTTGTTGCTTATAGTCCAAGGCCTCCCAAATAATATTTGCCCCGGTAAAACGATCGAAAATGAATCGCAGTGACGGTTTAATACAAAGACGGAACATTCTACGAGAAAATAATAGTGAAGGTGTGCCAAATTCGCCACAGAGCGATGACAACAGGCCAGATAGGGACGAAGAGGTCGACGATGGGGATTCCAAAGAAACCAGGCTTACCCTTATGGAGGAAGTTTTATTATTAGGCCTCAAAGATAAAGAGGTAATTAAAAAACACAATTGAGTAATAAAACAGTATCCTTAATTTTTTTAAAGGGTTACACGTCGTTTTGGAATGATTGTATTTCAAGTGGTTTAAGGGGATGTATACTCATTGAGTTAGGATTAAGAGGTCGAGTTGAACTTGAAAGGGCTGGGATGAGACGCAAAGGTTTATTAACTAGGAAGCTTATTCTTAAAAGTGACACCCCGACCGGTGATGTACTTCTCGATGAAGCACTTAGACATTTAAAGGAAACGGATCCCCCAGAAACTGTACAAAGTTGGATTGAATATCTTAGTGGTAAAAAGCATAAAATTCTTATTCTTCATTTTTTTAAAACAACATTTTAGGGGAAACATGGAATCCACTAAAATTAAGATATCAATTGAAAAATGTCCGGGAAAGGCTTGCCAAAAACTTGGTTGAAAAAGGAGTGTTAACTACTGAAAAACAAAACTTTCTCCTATTCGATATGACCACACATCCCCTTACTGATAATGTGACCAAAAGCAAATTAGTTAAAAAGGTAAATATAAAGATATTTATTTGGGTAATTTTTTTTATGTTCTATATAAATGTTTTTTTAATGTCCGTTATTTTTTGATAAGATAACACTTGTAAGGCTGAACAAAAATGCTTTCAACATAATTGAAATTATAGACATTTTTTCTCTTTCCTGAAATGTATTACAAACAATTTCTAACTTACAAAATTGAAACAAAAAAATACAAATATATTATTTCAAGGTTTTATCAAGATTTGTATGTGGAATTAATCATTAGTTTTCGCTCATTTTTTTATTTGTATGACGCAATTTTAAATAGTATTGAAGAATGGTAATTGAAACTCTGGAAATTATATATTGATTATATTTTTGCATATAACTCCATCTTGACTCGAATTCCGCCGACATTTTTCATTTACCAAGAGTGGGAAAACCATTTCTGTTTGGACTTAACTTAAAAACAGTGGGCCACACATATATATACTATCTCCTATATCGCTGACTAAGGCAGCAAAAGAGTGTAAACACTAGAGTGCAGATATATATATATCTGTCTCTGTCGTGCCCCCGTCTACTCAAGAGACATGCGTGAACACGTGGTGGTACGCTTTTATCTTATTGGACGGTGAATTAAAAATTAATAGCAGCTGATGACCTTGATGTTTATAAATCACCAAATAAATGTTTGACATAAACATAACCTAAAATCTAAATATTTAGTTATGTATATTATAGGTTTCATGTGTATAATAACATAATTATTAACATATTTTAGGACTAAGCAATTTAAAATGTAATTATTATTTGTTAAGAAAGTGAAGAAAATTTGTTAAAAGATATTTTTGGGGCCTAAAAATTGGTTGAACAGGTAGAAGGAACGATCTCAGTGTAATAAAAAAGAATTCAAAGCCCTCCTTTTCTTGTAACATTTTTCTTAAAAATTTAATTAATAATTACATCGATATGATGAAAATTTTATGATAGAATATTATGTACATTAAATAGTAAGTACCCTAAGTACATATTTTATATCGTTAATTAATGTAACGACTTCATTAAAGGGCGTGAACTCACAAATTATGTTAAAAATTAATAACTATATTTTGGTACACACTTTTAATAATTACTATGTATATATGTATTAATTTAATTTTAAAGAATATAATGTTTAATGAACAACCTACATAAAGTTGATATTTATAGCAATATATATTTGATGCATCTATGATAATTTATAATTAAAGTCAATTATCTACAATAATTGCATTTCAAAGCTGCATAAAATACGCGCGAAGCACTTCAAACTCTTTAAAATTTACGACAAATTTACGACAAAGACAAAACATATATCATTCCGTCTGCTTTTGATGGAAACGCTCGCCACTCATTGCTTAGATAGGGAGTCAGCGATATAGGAGATAGTATATATATGGGGTCACACAATAAGAAAAAAAGACTACCAGTAGCGATTCTAAGAAGTCCTCAAAGATACGCAAAGCGTCATAGAGAACTTTACATAATGATTTACATCTACATCCGCTTTGACACTCACGATTAGATGTAGCGCATGCTACAGATGTTTATGGATTATTGATGACGCTGATTTCCTCCTCAGCAGATATGTTAATAAATATAACTTTCCGTCCAGTTTGCTCTACATATTTCCCACCCTTGCATGACAATCCATAGATTCCTGCCTCGATATATATCCATTATTACGTCCTTTAGAAGTCGTTCTTCATTATTCAAATTTTTTCCGTCGCGGAATCACGGACATCTTCTAAGTTGTTAATTTTTGTGAAAAATGCGTTTTAATAAAAACATATATCCTTATATTTTTGTTTGAAATAACAATGATGAAATATTTGTAGATTCAAGATGCTGTGTTATCAAAATGGGTAAACGACGCACAAAGAATGGATAAACGTATGTTGGCATTGATATTTTTGGCTCATGCGAGTGATGTATTGGAGAATGCGTTTGCGCCATTAAACGACGACGATTACGAGCTGGCGATGAAGCGAGTTCGAGAATTACTGGATTTGGATTTCGAGCAAGAATCGGTGAAGCCGAATACCACGGAAGTGCTGTGGGCGGTTTTTGCGGCGTTCACGAAATAATCCGTCGCTATTCTCGGTTCCGGGTCATTTTGTATAGGTACTTTTCTAAAAATTCTTTGTAAATAAATTAGCGTTCCCTTCCCCCCACCCAGAAAAAAAAACATTCTCCTCCATCCTGAGGACGGAAAGCGACGTTTTTCCGTCGAATATAGTATTTCGATTGTTATTTATGTCCGTTTCGGGTCGCATTTTGATGATTAATGATTTTATATTATAATTAAAAATATTGAAAAAAAATTAAAGTAATAATGAGAAGAAATAAAAGTATCAGTATACATTAAATATACATACACATAGTATTGATGTAAATTAAACTAATTAATATTTTGTTTAAACACAACGTTTTGAGCAAAAATCAGAACGTTCTGTTGAAAATAAAATCGAAATTTTAAGAAAATGGATAAAACAACCAAACAAACTCACTAAAAGTTTTTTTTGTATCAGTCTTGTTTCTTGTAAGTGAAAAAAGAATGTATCTTCTTATTAATTATATGATTTATAGGTATAAAAAGCTTGTTTTATTGTATAGCCGGTTTTTTTTATTAAAAAAAGATTTTAGATGGAGATTTTCTTTAAATGTATTTGTGTATATAGAAATAGGGCCAGTTTTTAAAAAAGTTTTTTTTCTTTTAAACTCACTTTAACGACTGCCTCCAAAACATTCCACGTTTTGGACACCGTTGGATGAACTTATGCTAGTCTAAAGTATTTTTAAAAACACATCAAAAAATATATGCATAAATATATATAATATATGTCATATCAACTGTATGCTAATATAAAAATCATTTTCGTGTCCAATTTTGTTTATAAGGTTTAGAAATAAGTTTGTGCATGGGTACATTATTATTTTCTTTTTTTTGTTCAAATCTCTGTCTAAAATCATGGTGAGATTTTTTTATTGAATAGAGTTAATAGTCTCCTCCGACTTATGGCTATATGTGATATAAACTAAAATTGAAAATTAAAAAAAATATATATAAATATTAACTTAGCCCACTTTCACATTATAAATAAAAGAAACGAAGTTAATTGGCGATGATGTACGTGTGGTATTCGGTAAATACACGGATTTTCATGCATTATTTTCTTTCATTTTAATTTTAAGCGCACCTTAGTTCAGCTAATGTATTAAAAATTGAACTTTTTTTGTGTATGTAAAATTTATACATGTTATAGTTAACATTTTTTCAAACAATAAATGTATATATACTATATGTCTAAAATATTTATGCCCGTTTTTTATCATCACCACACCTTAAGGACTAAATTATATGGTTTTGTATATGTGTGAGGTACAGTTCCTAAAGCAGTGTCTAAAGGTCAAATATTCTTCCTAAGAGTTATCAGATGAAAGAGTTTGAAAGGGTTTCTCTCCTCAATGTTCTCTGTTGGACCAAAATATGTGGCAATTAGCATATTAGTGTGCAAAGCTAAGTTTGAATAAGCAATGTTATATCAATTTTTTATTGATTCCTTCTGCCCACAGATAAAACCGATTTTGCGTCATTTGTATGTAAATCAAATAAACCCGAAAACAATTAGTGCCTATTTGTAATAATTGTATTTAAACGTTTGGGAAAATATGTATTGGCCTGTTGAGTTTTGCTTCTATCCTTATTTAATACTCGCGTGTGTAGATAAAACGAAACGTGGATCTAGGGATGGAACATTTAAAATAATTGTATCGCCTTTTTTCTTTGCCGCATTACAAATCTCTCTTCGCCAATGTCTTTATGTACCAATATCCTCAATACCGTTATAATTATTATATTTGTAATTTCCCCCACTATCATGGCATGGTATCTCCAGTTAATATAGGATATAATGGATCTCCATCTTTTTCTAACCGGTGTGAAGTTGTAACGAATAAAGTACGTTGTCTGTGGACAGTTTAGTTTTTGCTTTAGTACCCGTTATTATTCGAACATTTCGACGCTTTTTCTTCGAATTAACAGAAACATTTCTTGACGTTCACCCATCGTAAGTATTTTGCAAATAGGTATCGGTCATAATCCTCGTTTCCCATAACGATTTTAAGATGAGAAATCGTCGTGTTTTTTTTTAACTTTTAGTTTTAAGTAACATTCTTCCTTTATAATGAGTTTATTCATAAATATTGCATAAATTAAAAAGGGTTGATGTCGACTCTACTCAGTTAACTTTAAAAATATATGTTGACATAACCTCAAATGTGACAGTGTTTTGTTTTTTTTTTTAATCTAACACACACACATATATATATATATATATACATTTGTTTTTGAATGATTAAGTACATTTTTATGATGACTAAACATAACGGATTTTATTTTTAATTTCTTATCAAGAAGTTTATAAATTCAAAAAGCATTTAAAAAATGTAATAATCATTGTTCTATGTAAAAACGATTTGGCGCTTGCGCATAATCTTTCACAACACTTAAAATTAGTATTGCGCATGCGTCATGGTTAAAAAATTCCAACCCGATTATTAACTTCCAGATTCTTCAGAAAAAATGAGCGAACAAGAGAACGAGCAAGTTTCCGAAATGAGTCCTCACGAAGTGGAAAAGATAGAAGAGGCGAAATTAAAAGCGAAATATCCAACGGGAGTCGTTGGTTCAAATGGAAGTCGTCCGATCGCTGGACATTCGGCTTTCTTGCAAAAACGTTTGGCTAAAGGAGTAAGAACGTCTTAAATTAAAAAAAAATTTATAACTGTTTTGACTTTTTTAGCAAAAATTTTTTGATTCCGGCGATTATCAAATGGCAAAACAAAAAATTGGAGGTGTTAATAAACAGCCGTTGAAAGTGGCAGTTCCTGTAAACCCATACGCCACTGGAGATGCAATCCCAACCCCAGAAACAGTACCAGCACGAAAAACGTCCATAATACAATCCTCTAAATTTACGCCAAACGTCATCTAGTCGTCTGGCTGCTGTAATATTTACGGACGTCCCCAATGTAGATACTTGTTTCTTAACTTTCTTTCCCCCCCTTTTCATCATCAGGTTAACTTATTATTAATAAAAACCCATTAACTACAACTTATATTAAAAATAATAAAAAAAAACTTTTAATCTGCGTTTATTTTTTTTTAGTTTAATGGTTATGTTATGTATTAGTTTTTATTTCGACAAGATTTTTTTTGAAAAGTCATATTTTAACAGTTGTAGTTTAGGGTAACTAGATTTAACATGTATACATACATTCAGATGTACATTTAGTTTAATAAAAGAAATTACATTTTACAGTTAATATTGTTTTATATATTTGTGGTCAACCAAGTTTTTGTATATCATTTTGAAATCCAGGTCGCAACATTGTGGCAGCTATTTATGTATCAAGGCGTTTAAAGTTAGTTATGAGCCGAGATCGCTTTCGGCCCAGGCTCCAGATTTACAAAAACATCGTTATTGTCAATCTAGGTAGCTATTTGTCCAGCAAAGCTTTAAAATTTGATTATGAACCGAGGTCGCTTGTGGCCAAAGTTCCAGATTTACAAAAAACACCTTTATTTTCAGTCCTATATGAAAAATCAATCCCTAGTGATTATAAATGCAATTATCTTAATATCGTGATAGTTATCTAGTAGAAAAACAACCTTTCTCTTTATCAATTACTTTTAATATTAAATACATTGACCTAGACACTACTATGCCATTTATTAAAATATATTAATGTTTTTATCAAAACATTAACAGAGGTTGCTTGCGTACGAGGCTTTATAACTGATATTGTAAAAGATAAAATGCAATGAAGGAAAATAACTCCACCAAAATATATTTAAAATGCTTGATGTATCTAAACTTTCTTTCCAATTGATTTTTGCGATACATATATATATATATATACACCCACCTCTATATATAATATATATATATCAACGTTCTCAATGGAAATTCTTGTTAAGCGCTGACTAATACAGCGTTTTGTCACAAATTCTTAACAGTCTAAATAGTATTAAATTGTTGCAACATAATTCCAGTCGTTAACAAGACCTTGACGAGAAAGTAGTGGAAAAACCTATACAATCTGGGTAAGAAATGTCCTCATTAAATTATTTTTTTAAACACCCACCTTTCAGGTTATGTTTCCTCGTCATAATCACAAAAAGTTTTCATTATTTCCAATTCCACATATTTTAATAACTTTGGAAATCAATCTAATATTGCTGTTAATTGGGTTGCCTAATCTAAATTAATTTAATTTTTTAATTTCCATGTAGAAAATGTCCGTGCCAAAAGCTTATATTACACGTCGTTGTCATTTTTCAGCAGCCCATCGATTACACAGGTAATAACATAAAACAACATTGACATCATTTTTTATTTTATTATTATTAGCTCAAGATTAAATCAAGAAGAAAATTCGATTATTTATGGAAAATGTAATCATCCTCACGGCCATGGACATAATTACACAGTTGAAGTAACATTATTTGGACCTGTTGATCCTATAACTGGGATGGTAGAGAATTTGACGATTTTGAAACAATACATGGATGCGGCAATTATGAACGAAATGGATCATAAAAATTTGGATAAAGATGTGGAGTTCTTTTTTGAAAGGCCAAGTACTACCGAAAACGTTGCGCTTTTTATTTGGAGTCGAATCAGGACTATGATGGAAAAACCACAACTTTTATACGAAGTAAAAGTCTATGAAACTGAAAATAATATTGTTAGTTATCGCGGGGAATAAGAAAAATATAAATAAATTCATTGTCTTTAATACACACTTTTCCTTACAACATATTTTTAATATAATATATTAAAATCTATCACATCAAAAAATCACATCTGTTTTACGTTTCTTATATATTTTTTCATAACACATTCTTATTCCTTTATTATCTATATTTTATCATTAAAATCTACTTGAGCGGTTTTTATGGATACATAAGGTATTCCTAATTCAAAATCATTTTTTGGCCAATATCTTAAAACGGCTCTTTCTTCCGGTTTTTCTTCTCTCACGGAAAAGTACGCGAATAAAACGCACGCTGTGTAGGAAGCTATGAATATAAATATATGCCACAATCCATGGAGATATGGAAATTTAATTGCAGACCATGCCTCGCATAGTAATCTATCATTTATCCAGCAGAATACTGCTACAAACCAAACACTCGCGCAACGAACACCTAAACGATGAATTCTTTCATTTTTATCTCTTCTAACTTCATGGATTAATAAAATCACGGATGGAATTCCTAATAACATTAAGGCAAATGCGTTGACAGCTGGGTGGATTATTGCTAGAAATGTTCCTATTATTCCAAATGCTATCCCTCCAAGTGTAAAAAGTTTTCTAAAAAAAATGTATAAAAATATATGATCAAAATCGTCAAAAAAATCTTACCTATCATTATTAATAAAATTTGGAAAAAATCTTCTTGGGAAGAACATAGAAAAAGCAGCAGAAAAAACCCATAAAATAGCAACTTCATCTAACAACTGCCCAACAAGGCTTAAAGTTGCATGAAAATACGCGGATGATAAACCAACAACAATTAACAAAGTCCATATTAAGTGTATTCCCGGATTAATAATTTGCCCATAAGGTTTAAATAGATGCATTAATAAAGGCGGCAAAACAAAAAATAAAACATTACTGAACTAAAACAATTAAAAAAAATTATTTCAACAACAAATTATTTTCTGATTACCTACCGTGTTTACAAATTCAGCTATAATAGGCGAAAACGTGTAATTTTCTTCACACCAATCAATTGGCGAACTTCCTGGTTGCAAGGTAGCCCACATTATATCGCTCTAAAATAAAAAAATTAAAACAAAATGAAAAAAATAATTATTTACCTACAAATTCTTGGTACCAAAACATTGTGTTGAAACAAAAATAATAAATAAAATTTTAATCTAGATCGCAACTGAAACTATACTAAATGCAAAACGTTTGAATTGTTAATGAGAGAATGCGTTTCATTTTCCAAATCCTTACCAATAATCGACGCGTTTTATTATCAGCAAACCAAAGTGTTGTAATTCACACGCAAAATCGACAGAAATAACAATAACAACGTCGTTCCATGTTCTTGATTCGTATGCAAGGTTCTATTCAAACGCCAGTAAAAAATGCAGGTCGTAAATAATCCTTTTGTAAACAATGGCTTTGTAAACAAAGACTTTTGGCTCACAGCAGTGCACAGTGCACAGTTTTTTTTTTTACTGTTGTTGGTTGAATGAAAATCTGTACACTGAGTCGAGTCAAAAAGAACTCTGTACTGATTGAGAAGATTCCTTTGTTTCAACAAGGAGCAATCTTTTTTCTTTTCAAGTACATGTGACGCAATCAAAACATAGTTATTTTCTTAATCACAGAGTATGATTTTAATTCTTTTTTTTTGTATCATACAGGTATTATTAGATTAGAATTTGTTTTTATTTAGATGTCGAATTAAAGATAAAAGTCGTCAAAATCTCAACAGATTAATAAAAAAAAATCACTTAATATGAGGCTACCGGCAATAAATTAGTCCCAATGAAGGTGTTGCTAAATATATCTTGATTGATTAGCGAGCTTGTATAACATTCAATTAAATAGATAAGAGTAAATTGAAAAGGTGTGACTTTGATTTGAATAGTTTTTTCCGCAATAAATCATTTGATAAGAAAAATAAAAATATTTTACTACTTTAATCTAATACTAATTTGATTGTTTAAAAATAAAGTTTATTTTAACTCGATAGTCTTTTATGATTAGATATTTTAAAAACTACTTGCTGCGTCTAAGGCTTTGTAGATAAAAGATTGAATTTATAAATAATAATAACGTATTAAATACCATTTATGAATAATTTCTTTATCGCGAAAGATTCTTCTATTTGAATGGAAACGTTTGTAAATTAATATTTGTTTTGTATATATATATATATATGAAGTGATTGAGCATAGCAAGTAAAATATATAATAATATAAGCACACGGTGCGAGGCAAACAAAAAAGATTTTGCTATATCCTCATTCAAGAAGTATGAAACATTGTGAGCTTTTAAAGTATACCTTTGGCAATGACGCAGGGTGATTTGGGATACGAATTCATCTTGAACCACATATTCAGGAGAAATTTGATAGCAGCCTTGAGCAAACTCAATCTGGTGTGGGGAGTTATTCTACTAGAAATAGTTCTTTGCAATGAGGTCCAGATGGGAAAAAGACATCAAACATGTTTTCAAAGTAATAATGTTTCAAAAACACTTCGAAATTGTTTGTGCAGAAGGCACCAACATGTTAGAAACTGTTCCAATTGATTTCTGAAGATACCAACCCAACCCCAATTTATTGTTTAAGATTCTTGTGACATGGCAGAACTACTTTACATAATAAAAATTAAAGAAAGATAAAAAGAAATAATAAAGCATTTATCTTTATAATCGTTTCGATTTAGAATTAGATAAATTCGATAACGATTATAAATAGTGGGAGTTTCATAGTTCACACCCCCATTAGGGGCAAAGTGCGTAGTTGACGTTGATTAGGTAAAGAATTTTTTTTTATTATCGGAGTGGAAAAAAATCATGCGACCGGGGAAATGTACTTTGTACATTTCGGCTATGTTCGTAACGGTATAAATACTTTTTCGTCGTAGGTATAGACTCACTTGTTCCGCGAACTTTCGGGTCAATACTTACCCCTACCAGACACGGAAACGGCGCGAGCGCAAAACTGAAAATGTTCTGAACGGTTTATTGAGACGTTTAAAGTGTGCGGTTGAAATTGGTTTTTGGAAATATTCGCGTTCAAATGTAAGTAAAAAAAAATTTGTGCCAAATCAATACGTTTATGATTTAGGCTTATTTTAAATATTTTCTAAATTTTTTTTATTTTAAATTTTATTTGGTTACAATTTAATAATAAAAAATGCAGTAACCTATTACATCATATTTGCTTGGGTAAGGTTACCATTTTCAACACTTCTTTATTTTTCTTGGTTAATATTGATTTTGAGAATTTTTTTAAAAATCAATAACAATAGTCGCATTCATTTTAATATCAAATCCGAGGCCGTAAACAATCCCGATCGGGTGATCTTTGTGACATTCACTTTCTGCAGATACGCAGCGCGTATTAAAATAAAAAACATTAAATTAGGTTTAAAAAAAGAATAATTATGTTATTTAAACGATAAATGTTTGCGCAATATGTAAATATTTTATGGTGCAAAGTGAATTGGTTAAATAGATTGTGAAAAAATGTCGCCAAATACAAGTAATGTTGATAATTTTGTTGCTAAGAACAATTGACGTTGAAAATTTGTTTTCCGTTTTAGTTTCAATTTATGTTAAAAGTTAGTACATTTTTAATTGTCTATTCAAGGTCTTAATAAAAAAAAATTAGATTGCGTGTTTATATACATAGTAAAATTATAAACCTTGAATTGCAAAAAAAAGTGAATCGAAGGATTTTGAATGAGAACAATAACATCAAACGGGAAGTTTTATTTTGTAGGCGGTTTATATTTGGGAATGGTTGGCATTAAACTTGAGCACGCTTCAAAAATTACCTTCGGCTTTGGCACTAAAATTTTTACCAAAAATAATCTTTTAATAATAGACATAACATTTTACATTATTTTGAATATCGAACATCTTACTAGATCAAATACAAACATTTCTCAGATAACATTTGTTTATTTAATAGTAAAATATGAATTCTATTTTAAGAAACCTTGCTTCGGGTCAAAACAAACAAGAAAGTTTTGCATTTATACGTTCACTTTACGAAATTGGCTTAGGAAATTTACAACAAATTAATATTAATATTCACGTTCGAGATAAAAGTTTATATTGGATGTTATTATTTTTTTTCGGCTGATCCATTTATTATTTATTGTCACAATGATACTCTCCAACCTAGCAACAAGCCAATTTAAATTTAAAAAGGTTTCAAAACAATTTCATTTAGATGGATTAAAAGTCTAAAGTACATCGTCAACATTGAAAGGGTTAAGGCTGAATAGGTCGTAGATTGATCAATATTTGCATTGTTGACGATCTAATAATAGAATTTACGTGCTTCCCACATACATTGCGCCAAGTGTTTTTTATCAATGAACTCAATACTTTAAGATCTTGATAAATTTTTTTATTTCTTAGATAATTTGTCACACCTACTTTTTATTTTTGATTCATTTTCAAATTTTTCAAAATTACTATCAAGATATTAAGGTAATGTAGTCTAAAAAAATCATATTAAAGTCTTTAAAAACTTTAAAAACAAAATATTTGCTCAATACAGTTATTATGTGCTCCTTACAGAAGACTAGATATAGCTGGAAAAGACCAAATATCACTATATACTGTTATTAGGAAATTAAATCTATCTGCAAAAGGCTAAATACTGCTTGCACTACAAATAAAAGACTTAACACTGCTTGCAGAAAAATTTCTTGCTCAACTTCCTTCAGGATATCTAACACCCCAACCTAATAATAATGACTATAATGTTGATCAAAATGTTAAATGTGGTGATTTAGCCAAGTGGCAATCTTCTTCAGAAACACCTCCAATTTGTTTCTAAAGCCATGTTGCAATCTTACATTCAGAAATAATATAGAAGTGTTTCGGCCAAGATGTAGTTTTGACTAATTTCTTAATTATTAATTTATCCGCTTACTTTTTTGATTTTTTTATATTAATATTAAATTTTAGTTCGTTTGGTTTTGACTCCTTTTTGAGTTCTCTTAGTTCTTAAAGTTGAAAGAGTGAATTTCAATTCCAGAATAGTATGAACAAGAGCTCCTCGAGGGTACCACGAACTAGTAACGCTCTGAGGCGGCTCCAAGCTGCCAGAAATCATCAAAATCTAAGGGTGTCCAAGTATATTTTTAATGACGATTTCAGAGAAAGTTTACCTTCAATCCCCAAATTCATTAATAACAGTCTCTCGTCTTTTTGAAAAAAATCAAATTTGTAAGTCGCTAAAACTAACTCATATAATTTTTTTCTGAAATTGGTGCAGTAATAAATGTTTTAATTGTGTTCATAAATTAATTGGATTATATCGTTTCCAGAAAAATTTAACATCAATTTAATTTGGTTAATCTAAAGTGGTCAAAATGAGTAGCTACGATAACGTTTCGATTTTTGGAAAACTACTTACGGCTGGAACATCTGCTTGCATTGCCGATGCCATGACATTTCCATTGGACACTGCCAAAGTTCGATTACAAGTAAGATTTTTTTTTAAATTTATTTTTTGGTTTTTATGGAAGTTTTTTAGATTCAAGGTGAAAGGGTAGGGGCCGTCCATAATGGAACCGTGGCTATTATGAGAGCGGAAGCTCGACAACTTGGACTTTTTGGAATGATAGGCACCATGGTGCGTCAAGAAGGCACAAGGTACAGATCTTTTCTTTATTAATTATTTTTATTCAAAGAAAGAGAAAGTTAAGTATTTATATAAAAAGTTTTTTCACCATTCTTTTTCAAATTTCACATTTCAATTTTGAAAAAATAATTTTAGAAGAAGTTTGTTGTAACTCCTCAAATAACAATTTCACCTGCATATTTTTATTATGGAGTGATAAAACGTAAATTTTTAAGTAATATCATGCAGTTGGATTGTTGTTTGGGTTTTTGTGGAAATGTTACAAAAAAGATTAAGGGATTTTGTAAAAAAGGAGTCAAATAGGTTGGGGTAGGGTATAGCAGAGTGTGATGAGATCTGATTACAGGAGCCTGTACAATGGCCTATCAGCCGGTCTGCAACGACAGATGTGTTTCGCATCAGTGCGAATTGGACTATACGACAACTTCAAGGCATTCTACCAGCAGCTTATTGACGGTACGCTTACTGGCAGCCACTTTTGACTGCTGGTAATCGATCGTTTCTGCTTCGATAAGCATACGATGTTTGATTATTTGTACATTTAACTGTGTACATTCGTAGATAAGACTTTTCTTTCGTTACAAAACAGCTCTTCTTCCTACTATAATACCTTCTCACCATTAAAAAAATTACGAAAGAAAAAAAGTAGAAAACGTTTTTTATTATTTGCCTTCTTACAGTTAATTTTACAATTAATCTTTTCAGTTTCACAAAAGCTTCTTGTGTTATCATTTTTTTGTATAAATTATTTTATTTGTGTTACCTCTGTTCGTCTTTTACTTGATTTTCCTGACAAAACCTAAATCGACTAACATCATTGCTGACGATAATTAAAAAAAACAGTAACTAAAACGTAGTTTAAGCACAATCAAACTGCCTTTCTATTTCCAACGTTTCTTCATAGGCAAACAACGAGACGGAAGCTTGAACGTTGGTGCCAGGGTTGCCGCGGGATTAACAACAGGAGGATTAGCCGTTCTTATCGCCCAACCAACAGATGTCGTCAAAGTCCGATTCCAAGCATCCATCATGGGAACTTCCTCAGTACGATACTCATCCACACTTCAAGCATATAAAATGATTGCAACCACGGAAGGATTTAAAGGATTATGGAAAGGAACTTTTCCTAATGTTAGCAGAAACGCTATCGTTAACGTTTCAGAAATTGTTTGTTATGATCTGATTAAAGATACTATTATGTATAATCATCTTATGAAAGATGGTGTTCCATTACATTTTACTTCTGCAGTTATTGCAGGTAATTAATTTGTCAACAAATTTTTGAAATCACCTATTTAATTTGACGTTTCTTGAAAGTCTCATTATCAAAAAAGATTGATTTCTCCAAAACGGTTAGGATTTGAGAAATGAAACTTTTTGAGGTTATAAAGGAACGTTTGAAGATAGGTTATGCCAAATTTAAAGTTTCCATGATAAAGAATTATTTTATAAACAAATTTTGAAATCACCTATTTAATTTGACGTTTCTTAAAAGCCCATTATCAAAAAAGATTAATTTCTCCAAAACGGTTAGGATTTGAGAAATTAAACTTTTTGAGGTTATAAAGGAATGTTTGAAGATAGGTTATGCCAAATTTAAAGTTTCCATGATAAAGAATTATTTTATAAAAAATTTTTGAAATCACCTATTTAATTTGACGTTTCTTGAAAGTCTCATTATCAAAAAAGATTGATTTCTCCAAAACGGTTAGGATTTGAGAAATGAAACTTTTTGAGGTTATAAAGGAATGTTTGAAGATAGGTTATGCCAAATTTAAAGTTTCCATGATAAAGAATTATTTTATAAACAAATTTTGAAATCACCTATTTAATTTGACGTTTCTTGAAAGTCTCATTATCAAAAAAGATTGATTTCTCCAAAACGGTTAGGATTTGAGAAATGAAACTTTTTGAGGTTATAAAGGAATGTTTGACGATAGGTTATGCCAAATTTCAAGTTTTCATGATAAACAATTTGTCATATCACATTTTGTCATATCTCCAACAATAATCAAGATATCTGCTATATTTAGTTAATTAATTTATTAATTTTTAGGTTTTTGTACAACCGTTGTTGCTTCTCCTGTAGACGTCGTAAAAACAAGATATATGAACTCAGCTAAAGGACAATATAAAGGAGCATTAGATTGTGCTGTGAGGATGTTTATGCAAGAAGGAAGTAAAGCGTTTTACAAAGGGTAAAAAATGTTATAGTTATATAAAACATATAGTACGCGTGTAAGATTGGTTGCATAGGTTTAAGGGTTGAATGGTTCTTGTAAGTTCAAGGATAACGTGTGTATTGTTCTTAGAGTAGGAATAAGAATACGGTGAGGTTTTGAATTTGAATTTTTCGATCTTCGTTGCAGATTCACGCCGTCGTTTTACCGGTTGGTGAGTTGGAATATAATGATGTGGATAACGTACGAGCAAATGAAGTTGTTCGTTGGGAATCATTTTGGACAAAGGGATTGAGTCTCGATTTGATAAAGGAAGAAAAAAAAATTTTAAATTGTTACAATAATAATATTTAATAACCAATAAACTTGAAGAACGACGAATAATGTAATATAACGATAGTATTAAAGAATTCCGGAACGAGTTGTGATTTAAAATTCCTAAGTAATACTTACTCATAGGCGATTATAGATTTTAGGCGTTTTGATTTTATATATTATATTTTATATTATACGATAAAGGTGAAAAATGAAATAAAATGAGAGAGTGAGAGAGAGAAAACGAACACTAAGTCGTGTTTTATTTGCCTTAGAATGCAGATATAATAGAAGGAGGAATGTAAAACGAAAGAAAACAAAACCCAGCGGACGCTTTGTAGGTTTTTTTTTCTGAGCGCTAAGCTAAACCAGTTTATAAGTAAGCCTAAATGCGAAGTAAAAAGTAGCAATTAAAAGTGGTACGTTACACGCGCGGCGTCCGAGGATGATATATAAAGTTTTTAGGATTTTTATTAGCAATAAAAATCTCCGTTTCTTGGCTTCACCTCGACATCAGACTCACGGGGCAAACCCGCTAAACTCGTTATAATACTGACACCAATATCACGCAAAATCTTCGTGGTGATTTTCTGGAACAGAAATCCTTCGGTGAGCGACGCAAAAGGCATTAAAAAACGTGCAAATAAGTGAGTACCTTTTTATCCTCCCCGCAGCAGTACGAACACTCTAAAGTATAGGAACGTTTTATGTCGAATTCCCTCCACATCACAACTCTACAGGTAGACTCACGTTTCCTTTCGATCGAGTACCGACAAAAACTTGGTTTCATATGCCGGTTTGCGCTCAACAACTTCGGCAAAAGCTGAAAACAAATATTTTCATGCAATACAAAAATTAGTTTTTCACTATGAACCCGCGCACTCTTATCGCTCTTTTATTGCCATCCATTAAACTGTTACTATTACTCGATTTAAAATGTTCTATGCGATACCAGATAACAATTGTTCTAGTACTTAACGTAGTTACGATATATTTATGCCATTAAATCACATTTATGGGGAACTATTTTGAATTAATATCACGTTCTGAACATAATTCTTGCATAAAAGTGTATTAATTAAAAACAATAGGTACCATATGCAACTTCCGGAACTATAAAACCATATTTGTTAGGTGCCAAATTCTAGACTTCATTAAACTCTCATAGACTAGAGTGCGGGAAGTTAGCCCCCATTTTTTGATTTTTAAATTTTTTATTGTTGTTCTAGGCCATAGACTAATGCATTTGATTTTTAAGGATTTTCAGAATCAAAGGGAATTAATATAATATAAATTGAGGAAGAGATTATTTTTTTTCTGCAAATGGGTTTGTAATTAATACATAATAATATATTTGAGATAAATTAATACAAATTTTGAAGAATTTAAGGTGAACAACATTACAATGTGAATTTAATTTAATTTTTTTAAGTTTAATCTAATTTTATCCCCCATTATATATAATACGGCAACTATAGTGGTTAGTTATGGTAATTTATGTAAGAACTTCCCGGAGGTTGGTGGTCAAATAGCGTGACGAATTTTCCACAACCGAACAATGGTACCTACCTTTACCTCATCATCATCTAGTTTAGATCGGATCGCGTCCTTTTACTTACTAAGTACGTCGTATTCGATGAATCATCGTGGAGTTTATCATTGTCATTCCAGCTCTGGCGCGCATTGCACCCATAAAAGAAGAAGAACTTCTTCCTGCTATGACCGTGGACGTCGATGAACGCGAAAACATCACCGCCCAATTGTCGTTTTGCAAATTCCACCAGCTTCTTAGCCCTATACACCTCCGGATGCAGAGTTTCGTTTGGCTTTTTCCAGCATCTATTCAAATCTTCACCGGCCAATCCACAACGAGCACTACAAAGAAGAAGAATGTGAAAAAAAAGGAAGTGTAGTAAAAGGCATGCAAAATAAGCGAATTTGATTTATAGAACTCGTTTCGTACTATACAATGGGATGGCGACTTAGTTGCATCATTAAAAATAATTATGAGGCGTAAAGGAATAAAGGAGACTGCTTGTAATGAGAGATCTTTCAAGATGCGTCCATTATTCTTAGTCATCTTATGAAAATAAATAAAAATAAATAAGAATGCAAAGAGAAGAAAGTTTTCTTGGTGGTACCGTAAAAATAGGTTTGTCCTATCTGAGATTTTTATGGTTACCAAAGGAAGGAAGTGTTGATGATGTTTGAATACTAATGTTATAGACGATTCATTTGTATGAGAGCCTCGTAGGTTGAGGTGTAGACAACGCTTAGAAGCTTATAGTAATTGATATTTTAATAGGTGTTTGATGCAATAAAATCAACTTTGAAACGATCGGGGAAACAATAAAAATCATCTTTCAAATTCGGGCTTAATTTACAAACAAAAGGGTTTTATATTCTTTACAATCGACAATAATCAACGGCTTCTAATCTTTGGAAAAGATTCTTTTTTGGTTTTTGTGTATTCTTAAAATAAGTACATATTAATGCTGTTAGATTATAAATCATCGGTTTAGCAGAAAGAACATGTGAGAAGAAATCTCAATAAGTTGTTTGCACGATTACGCATATTTCCTGTCAGGCTACATTATGTTTTAAGACACGCTTTCTTAGAAGAATATATAATTAAAATATTCTTCTCGTCGTTCATTTTCAATGTCCAATAATAATAAAATTAATACAATTTAGTTACAGGTAGTCGGTTCATTGATATATATTATTATAAATATTAATATAAAAACGGTTAACTTTAACAACCGGCGCGAAACGTTTGGCACGTTTTACGATCGATATTGTAAAAAATCGTGGAGAGGTGTAAAATTAAGAAAGAAAATTCGAGATGTTTTCAAGACCGTTGAACCTCCCGGAAAAACAGTTACCTTTTTTTATTAGTGGTTTGTTCGATCCGCCATAAATGACCGAAGACGTTCGTTTATGTTAAAATATACGGTCCTAAGTTCAAAGAACCCGACCAAAAGTAATTAATAGATTCGGTGTTGCGTCATTATTAATTTATGGAGAATTCAAAACGACAAAAATTTATGAACTATAATTTTATTTATTGTTCGAGAAAAGTACCCGATACGAATCGTCATCTTAAACCAGTTTTAGCCGGTAATTGTTAAGAACCCGACCCGATTGTTTAAAATAATTTTAAGAGCTTGCCCTTGGTTTCTACCAATTGCCGGATAATGAATATTTAAATGGCATCGCTCACGAGCGAAGGTTCGTGCGCATTTCCCTCCTTTATATTCAAAACGACCAAAAGAAACCCTTTGCACGGTTTCCCAGAAACGAGAAGAAGGAAAAGGATTTTGCTTGATACTTCTTCACGAGAGGGAGGAGACAAAGAACTTCTTTATATACAATCGATTCAAAAAGTTTTTGTACTAAACGTTATATTTTCGAATTTTTGTTAATCGACCCAAATAGAGATGCTTAGCCAATTAACTTCAACGCCTCGGCCGCAAGCGGCATCGACTTAATAGGGCGAAGTTTATATGCACAACCCTATATTTAGCTGAAGTTGCTTGAGGATGGACCTCGTTGAGGCCACAATTAACTTCGTGAGGAATTCAATTAGGCGAAATTCTTAAAATTATCATATTTTTTGTTCCCTGAAGATACCCTTGTAGGTAAAAATCGGTAATGATAATTACATATATCTTCTCTACATACATATATATAATTATGTATAAAAAATGAAATTGTTGATTATTGTGTTATATTAAAAGTAAGTATTTGATAATAAAATGCTTCTTGATACTTCTTCACGAGAGGGAGGAGACAAAGAACTTCTCCCGCTAAACTTCTTTATATACAATCGATTCAAAAAGTTTTTGTACTAAACGTTATATTTTCGAATTTTTGTTAATCGACCCAAATAGAGATGCTTAGCCAATTAACTTCAACGCCTCGGCCGCAAGCGGCATCGACTTAATAGGGCGAAGTTTATATGCACAACCCTATATTTAGCTGAAGTTGCTTGAGGATGGACCACAATTAACATCGTGAGGAATTCAATTAGGCGAAATTCTTAAAATTATCATATTTTTTGTTCCCTGAAGATACCCTTGTAGGTAAAAATCGGTAATGATAATTACATATATCTTCTCTACATACATATATATAATTAAGTATAAAAAATGAAATTGTTGATTATTGTGTTATATTAAAAGTAAGTATTTGATAATAAAATAGTAATATTAGTAGTACAAAGACATTTTTTAATGGAGTGTAAACAATTATAGGAGGTCAACGATACCGGCTGCAACCGAACGATCTTCACGGTCGCAATCCTGAACTTGAACGTGTCTAGAAGGCGGGAAAATTCGAACCGCAAAGTCTTGAAAGTGGGGTAAAAGAGCAGAGAGGAAGATTTGACGCGAAGAGTCCGTACACTATCTTTAGGCTCCTACTACATTTTAATACCCGATGTACGCGCGGTATATAAATAGATCCAAACAGAACAATAAAATGAAGAGCCGGTTTAAAATTATATACTATACCAACAATTCCAACAAGGTCTCTGAGCGGCGAGGCCCCATTCCTCGAGCCCGATCAGATTAACACTGTTTTAAGGCGAAAAGGGGACGTTTCGACGAAATCCGCCTTTTGTCGTCGCTTCGATTCTCTTTCACACTTACTACACGTCCAAAGCCAAGTCACGACCCGGCGAAGATCGAAAAAATGTAATTTACATTCCATCTTCTTTGCGCCGGTCGTTGCCTTCATCGCTTAGAACATCTCGAAAGCACAAGTGAATCCGATCACCGAAAAGAGATCGATCGTAAAAAGTGAAATCGGGCGGTAACAAGGTTTGAAAAGAAAGAAAAAAAAACCGTATAATTTGTTTAATAAGTTGAGTCATAAAACTGTTTAAGATTAAAATAGTAATATTTTGAAGATATAAAATATATATAGAGTTGATACAAAAGATATAGTGAAGTTGTAAAATAAGGAGGTGTAGTCAGAAAGACATAAAGAGTAGTACATCATCCCATAACCACCGCGAAATAAAACCACCGAGCGCGTAAGGTTAACCAGGTATATTTGCAACGGCCGGGTCGCAGGGAGATAAAATGCACGTGCAAAGTACAAAATCGCGAATGGCCGGCCGGTGAGGGGCAATTATCAGGCCGCGACTTTTGCGAGTAGAAATTTATAATCTCAAATTTACGGTCCGGCAATTTACGATTGTTTTTTCCGAGCGGCGCCGCAGCGCCACAGGTGAGGATCTAGCGGCGACCACCATTAGATCTTCTTCTTCTTGCGGCCGTCGGAGAAGAAGGAAAAAATCACCAGAACCAGGGGCGGCGGGGGGTGCATCCGGTAGACCGTGCACAAAACTAAAGACCGCCGCTCGGCGCCTTTAGTTCGCGACCAGACGCCAACCGAACATCACAAACCACAGAGATCTACCCGCAAACATGAACGTAGCCGGTGCCGCATCTACCATACTCCTATTCATCTTCATCACCACTACAAATTGTAAGTAACTAATAAATCATAATTCCGTTCCGTTCCCCTTTCTTCAATTTATTCTTTAATTCGTTCGTTAAATTGTCCTCGTCCGTTTAAACTTAATAAAACCTTCAAATAAATCTCATCCTTTTAGGTCAAAGGATAACCACCATCCAACTTGATGGAGTCCAATACTTCGTGAGTCGCATGAATCCTTATTCGCCGGAGTTGAACTTCTTCCTCGCATACCAATACTGCAGATCTCTCGGGCTACAACTGGCTTCATTTGAAACAAAGGAGAAGGCCCTATCCATAACCCAGTACCTGAAGAATGCCGGTAAGGTTTTATTACCTTTAGCGAATCTCGAAAGCCGCAACGAGCTTGGTTTTCTTTTTAAGGGTATCAAAAGTATGACTTCTGGACATCGGGCAACAAGTTGGGCACCGACATGTATCTTTGGATGAGCACCGGTCTTCCTTTCAACGCCACCTTTAATCTTATGCGAGGTTCCGATACTATCCCAGATATTCCTAATGGTAGTACCAGTCCGCAAAGAACTGCCAGAGAAAGGTATGTTTGCCAAAAAAAATTTTTTCTTAAATAATTTTTGTTTTAATTCTAGTGGTGATAGCGGTTGTTCAAATGGTTGTGTAGCATTGAAAGCACCCGATTTTACATGGGATACAGATGACTGCACGTCCATTAAAGACTTCATCTGCGAGCAAACACGATGCTATTATTACAATTATGGTTCGATACCGGTGTCATCGTCCCAGGGGTAAGAAAGGTGAGCCCTTTGCCATCCCACCAGGGGTCTTTCCGTTTGGATATGTTTTCCAATGTGGACCCAGGTGGGAAGTCGCTGTGGTGGTCGGGCCTAACGCTTAATAACCTCATTTTTCTACAATTTTTAAAAATATTTTCTGGGAAAATTGTAGATCTGCTTAAAAATGCTTTAGTTTTTCTTCGATAGCGCTCCCATCCTTAACAAATAAATTTCCATTTTGTTCGTACAGAGTCTCCTATACCACAACGTCAACAACCGTAAAGTCTATTTTGTCGTCGGAAAGGGTAAAAGTGTTCAATGAGTTTTCTAGCAAGTACAGGAGGACGGCGTCGACCAAGGACGGCAACTTGGCTTTACCTCGTAGTCCGAAGCAAGACGTGGACATCGACCAGTCGACAAACGGGCCATACGACAGCAATTTCCACGTCAATGCTGAGCTTCAGGACGACCCGTCGGCTTCCATCGCGGAGGGATCCAAAAACGAAGAGGATCATGCCTCCACTATTGAACCCGACACCGTCACCATCTTGGCCCGTTCACTCTCATCCGTCCAATAAGTTAGTTACGACCCCTTATTTATGTACTTCATCATTAATCGCCTAGCATAAATAATCGTTTTGCAATTCATTCCATTTTGTAAAGTAAGTTTTGAGTTTTAGTAAGTTGTAGTAAGATTTAGTGTTCCGTAGCTTTACATTTTATTTTTTATTCCTAGTTATTATGTACCAAGTGAATCGTGAGATAATAAACATTTCTTTTTTAACATAGAATCATTTTTACTTACTTTCCAAAAATTACTCCTTCAGGATTTAGCATTGGAATTATTTTAAACACGTATTTTTCACGAGCAGCTCGAGATATTTCATTATCTTCCAGCAAAAATCGTATTATTCCGTCCATAATCCATGAAGAATTACTTTCGCAAGGATGAACACGGGCTGTTATAAATATTAAACGCCTTTCCTACAGAAGAATTGAAATATTTATGATTGTCTTGCCCGATTTATGATTTACTTACTTGAATACAATGAGAACTCGTTAATGGCGCACTTATTGTTATTAAAGGAACCTCGTTTGAACCATTAACCGTTAATGATAATTTGTCAACTCGACTATAAATGGAATTTTTAATGATGCTGCAAGGGTAAATACTCATCTAAAAGATAATTAAACTAATTAATCTTGATTTTAATTAAAAACTTAAACATACCAATAGCCTTGTATAAGTATAGGGATAATGGTACGCTAAATAACAATAATCTCCTTCAAACGGGAAACTAATTTTAAAAGATAAACTCCTATATTGCTTCCCATCCACTGTTTTATATTCGTTACCATAATAAATAATTTCATCTCCATATTTTCTCCAACCTACAAAGTAAACGTATTAAATTAAATTAATTTAAAAAAATTTTATATTTGCCCTTATAGTTTGTAATAAAATCTAAACAAGAAAAAAAGACTGGTTGCATTCCGTAGTTAAATTGGCTGTTGGCCTTTTGGAAATTAATAACGTTGAAGGTGTACCAAGTGTCCGGGCGCATATTGCTTATTTGGAAGTAAAACCATTGAAGACCTCCACGAGTGTTAACGTCCGGACTTAAAAAAAGATTGTACTCAGTCCAACCGATCTGCTCAACTTTGCGCAAGTTTCCACATTCGAATCGAGACTCGAAACGCAATGTAGTGACCTTGTTTAAAACTTTTAAACCATTTCTTAATTTTTCTTTGATAGTCTCCACACTACAACGCATTTAATATGCAATTAATTTTTAATTGATATTAATTAACTTACTTCGGGACATCAATTTTATCATTTTCTGATAAATTATCTAAGTCATAAACAGTTTTTCTTAAAAACGTATGTTCGTATTTTAATTTTTTTAATTTTCTAATTAAATTATCGTTTGTAAAATGGTTTATAATCGGATCAATAACTTCGTCGGACTCATCATCGGCCCCAACGTAATCAGGAAAAGCTAACCGATTAATTTTTTCATTCCGTTTAACTCGGAGTGAAATCTCGTCGATCATTTCTTTCCCGCTTTTTTTTATGTCATCAAATATTTTAAGCCCGTTATTTTTTGAATCGTTTTGAAAATATTCCGCGAAGTATTTTTTCGTTAAATCGACTCCATCGATATCTTCCATGCGAGATTCATCCTCAAAAGAATCATCCTCGGTATCGTCGATTTCCGAGGTTGAATCATCGATTTCTGAAAAATCGAAATCTTCATCTGAAACACTTTTTTCGCGGCTTTTCGGCGAACTACACCCATCTTCTTCATCACTTTCGTTTTCGTTGTCACTTTCATCGGAATGATCAAGATCTACTTTTTGGTACTCTTTGGGAAGTTTTGCATCGATGTTTAACGGTTTTACGTCGTAAGTTATTTTATTAACACCTCGATGGAGAATTGTGATACCACGTATTAAAATTAATCTCATTTTAAGTTCTTCTTGTTTATCATTTTTTGTTACAAATTCTAAAAGATTATTCCATAACAATTGTTTGCTTATTGCGTCAATTCCTGAGGAAGTTTTTGTTATTTTGTATAAAACTCCCATTAAGTATTTTTTGTAGATTAATTTTTCATTTGGTGTGTTTAATATATTCAAAATGAATATGTAGATTTTGTCGGATCGGCTTAATGTTTCAATTGCTTCAGCTACAAAATTTTTGGTATAAAAAACATAAAAATATATAAAAAGTATATATATTTTATGAAATATATATATAAAATATATATTTTTTGTA